ACTAAACCTCAAGACAACGCTCTACGATCATATTAGACCGGAAACTACGGTTTAAAGTGAATTCCGAACCACTACAAACATCCACCGCCGGGACACGAATCTAAAATCTGTGGCACAACGTACCAGAGAGCTAGGCATTCGGCCATTCAGGCCGCATTAAATTGTAGTTTATGATGTTGTTTAGAAAGTAAGTAAAGATCTATGAACGTGTAATACAAAACAATTATAAAAAGATACAGAAAAGATATTTTTCAGCTTACCCAAATAACATGTATGTCAGAATAGTCAAACTTAATCCTATTATGGATAGGATGCTTCCAATGTAAGATATGATGGTCATTATTGACTCATGAGTCTTATCTCGAGCAGATAGAGGTGAAACATCCTACAGAAAAGGTTAGAGTTCAAAATTGCAGCTATTAATTTTTATAAAATAAAAAATAAACAAATATTCATTAAAATATAACAATTTTTTTGGAAACCAAAAGGAATTTATCAATATTAAGAAAGAAAGAAAGAATTTGTTTTTAATAAACACTATGTTTTTCTACGGTAATTTTATATGATTTTATTTACTTAAAAGTTAAATTTATTAATTATTAAATTTTATTAATTAAAATTAAAAATTAAATTACTAATTATTAAAATAATTAATAATTAAAAATATTAAAATAATTAATACTTGAAATTATTAAATAATTAATAAATATATAGTTATTAAAATATTAAAATTAAATTTTAATAGCTGCATTAATTATTAAAATAATTATTAAATAAATAATTAATACTTGAAATTATTAAATAATTAATAAATATATAGCTATTAAAATATTAAAATTAAATTTTAATAGCTGTATTAATCATTAAAATAATTATTAAATAAATAATTAATACTTAAAATTATTAAAAGTAAATCTTATTAATTTTATTAATTCTTAACTATTAAATTAATTTATTATTTTAATTTTTATTAATTATTAAGATTTTAATTAACATTTTAATTTTATATTATTAAAATAATTAATAATTAAAATTAATAAATAATTAATAAATAAAATTATTGAGATTAAATCTTATTAATTTTATTAATTATTAATTATTAAATTAATTTATTATTTTAATTTTTATTATTAATTAAATTTTAATTAAAATTTGTATTTTAATTACTTTTATGAATAGTTCATGACATTGGAAAATTTCTTCATGTTTTGATACAGAATTTAAACATGTTTTTAATTACATAAGCCCTAAATAATAAACGGTCAATTTAAAAACCTTGACTGGTTATAAAAAAAAACTCCAAAGAAATGAAAACTTGTAAAATTAAATTCTTTTTTTTTCTTATTGTATACAATAAATTATACAGCAAATTCTCCTGAAATTTACATATAATTGCATTAAAAAGTACACAAAAAATAAATTGAGTAATTTACGGTGAAACTTCATTGTCAAAAAATCAATCGAGTTTATTAAAAGATTCATGCCAAAAGAATCAACTTATTTCAGTGCATATAAATAGTTGGACTAATAACATAAAATTATTATTGTAGGAAAGGATTAAAAAGTTTTGGATCCACCTATGTATTATTTTACATTATATTAAACAAATACAAAAAATAAAATTATTTACAGTAAAATATTTAGGTTTCGTTAAAAATAAATGTAATACATATACATATACTATGTAATAGCAATTAAAAAACTTACAAAGAGAATAGAAAATGCCGTCATATGCGACGATTCACAGATAACGTAGCTTTTTGTGTGGTTTGTTGTGAGACCTTCAGTTGACCACCTTCTATCTGAGAAAGGAACAAAAATAACAAATACGTAGATTAAATAGTGTTTATAATAATTATTACCATCTTAAAATGCTTAATTTGACTAAATTTTTAAAACTCGTTGTTTTATTTATCAATATTGGAAAAGGTTCTTATTAATTTTTCTTTTCTTTTCTTTCTTTTTAATATTTCTTTTTTACACTTTATCTAAAGTGTAAAAAGGAATTACTTGATTTTCTCGAGGTAAAAAATTAAAAGAATATAAAATACAATATGATATTATAAGAATGATCTACCGTAGTTGCTTTGTTAAAAATCATATTATTTAATTTTGTTATTATTATTCGTTATTTTTTTTTTTTATAAAATACAATATGAAGATAAGTTATTTTAAAAGGTTGAAAACATTAATCGTCCTCAGTCAAAAATCATTTTAAGATTAATACAATATGAAGATAAGTTATTTTAAAGGGTTGAAAACATTAACCCTTGCCTTCTGTCAAAAATCATTTTAAGACTTGTGTACGTAAAAATCATTAAATCTGTAAAATCATTTTAAAACTTTCTAATGTAAGTGCTAAAATACGAAAAAGTAATTTTTGCCTGTCATTAACTATTTAACCCATGAAACGGCAACCTAACTAATAAAAACCTAACCATTTAAATAAACGGTAAAAACAGAAATTACTTGCTGCCAACCCAATATTTATTGCCAGGATCAACATTTTCGTTATCTGGCCTGTAAGATAAGCCATTAGCAGATGTATACAAATGTATATATATTATCCATCATATACAAATATAGCGCATAAATCGGAGCCTGAGCTCTGTTTTATGACGTGAGATTTTAGTATTGGGTAGAAATCCACCGTAAATCCGCAAGAACAAGAGAATTTGAAGAAGCTGTTGTAATTCGTTCACAATAATTTATGTTCAAAGGATAACTAGTTCATAAACTTTCTTACTTGAATATAAGGGAAAGGTGGTTATTTTTTGATATTATTTTAGAATTCAATTGTTAAATCAATTTTATCCTTAGGGAAGTATGTTAAGAGTTGTTTTAGAGAAGTATGGCTCTTATCATGAAGTAATTCAATAGATAAATGTACCGTTTATCAAATGATATATTTTTTTGAACTTATACCTCTTTTTAAATAGATAAATTTATTTCTAATTTTCGTGAAATATTGTTTATGTAAAGATTTTGAGATCAATAACAAAATCTGAGAATAATAATCAATCTGAGAATCATAATAAGAATGAGATCTGAGAATAATAATCAATCTAAAAATCATAATAAGATCTGAGAATAATAATCAATCTGAGAATCATAATAAGAATAAGATCTGAGAATCATAAGAAGAATAAGATCTGAGAATAATAATTAACCTGAGAATCGTAATAAGAATGAGATCTGAGAATAATAATGAATCTGAAAGTCATAATAAGAATTAGATCTGAGAATAATAATCAATCTGAGTATCATAATACGAATAAGATCTGAGGATAATTATCATAATAAGAATAAGATCTGAGAATAATAATTAATCTGAAAATCATAACAAGAATAAGATATGAGAATAATAATCAATAGCAAAATATATAAAAAATACCTTTTTCATCCCAGTATACGCACAAAACCTCTCGTTTTGTTACGAGTGGAAGTATATATACCAGAGGTTTATACATATTTTTCAATGTAATATTTCCGACACTTATCTGAAGAACTGGAGCTTCTGAAATGATATACAAAGGTACATATAAGAAATTTTCAATATTTAGAAGCAAACTTTTTATTTAGTTATTCTAAATTAATTAAAATCAGTAAGATATCTTTAATATGCACATTTTAGTAAGAAAAATTATATCTCTATATTAAAAAAAATACTTTAAGATATGCTTATTATTTTACTCACTTAGCTCTGCTTCTTCGTCATCTTTCTTTATTTTCACATAGGTAGAAACATCTTCTTCACTGCTTTGTTCCTGATCAGGTTTACTAACTTTTTTGGATTGAAAAAGTTTGTCGTTGTAGTATACTACGAACTTTACACGCACACTTCCTTCTAACTGTCGATGCGCTTCTTGAAGAGCTTCCTTTGGAACAAACACTTTAACCATCTGGAAATATAAATATTGTCTAGTGAAAAAGTTCTTCATCATATTCTCTTATGGAGTATTTTACTTACTACTTAAGTGACTTATCTATTTGTTAATATCACTCTGATTCATCATCATCATCATCATCATCATTGATGTAACAGCCCCATGGTGGGGTAAGGTCGTCTGTTTACTGGTAGATTTCGAGACAAGAGTTGTTTTCTTTTTACGGGGTATGATTGTTAGTCATACGCCCGACGCTCTACAGTCATATTAGAAAGGGACCTATGGTTAAAGTGGATTCCGAACCACTACAAACTTCCATGGTGCAGCCAGGACTGGAACCTGAAACCTGTGTCATCGAGCGCTATCTCTCAGGTTAGTTACCGAAATTGATACTTTAGAAATTACGATATTAGACAATCGCTTAACCTCCCAAACAGTTGTCAATTTATACTTAAAATTTCTAAAAAAATGTACGATAATCTTCCTCACACTCGCAATTCGGTTTTAAAATCGTTTCCTAGGTTTGATATTTCTTTGTTTAAAAATAGAAAAAGACCGCGTACTGTTCTCAACATATAATACGTTGTTTTTTCTTCGTTCCTTCTCCTGAAGTGCCATTACTGCAAGCCCCACCTGATGGTGGGCCTCCTTCTATTATTACAGTTTTTTCGTTTCATTTAAATATTTTTATTTTTAAATTCTTAATTCTTTTTTATTTTTTTAACTTACTATTATTTTATTTGTGTTATCTTTCTCTTTTATTTCAATTAAATATAAATTTATATACATAAAATGTGTAGCATAAGATTTCAATGGGCATTGACCTAAAGCAACGCTTCTCCAACATCAAGATAAAAGTGTGTGGCTGCTCCCGCAGCTGAAATACTTTGTTTAAACCACCCAGAACTCCTGGTTACCGAAAATTTTAATTCGGGATTATTAAGTAACTTGACGGCTACTAAAAGAGAATTTTTCTAACGTTTGGAAATTGACTGGAAATCATTTACTACTAATATATTCAGATACGTAGCATAATCAGTTTTAACCGAATTCAGCGAAAAGGGATAGATAGAATGCTGCATTATATCAATTTTTTTGGATATCACAATAAGGTACCATGCTGAATATACCGGTTCTCGTTAGATCACCGAAGTTAAGCATCATTGGGCGCGGTCAGTTCTTGGGTGGGTGACCACAATTACAAATCATGGCCGAGTGAACGGTGCCACAGGTTTCGGAGTTCGAATATCCCGGCGGTGCCATGGATAGAATCCACTTTAAGCGTATCTGAAGTAAAAACGGAGCAAAAGTCAGGCTTCTACCTTTTATCTATCATGAGTGACTGATCAAATCACAATTTATTGAAGAAAAAAAAGAGAATTTTTATAAGTGACTCTATTTATTAATATAACTCAGAGTAGTTACCGAAAATTTTAATTCGGGATTGTTAAGTAACCTGGCGGTTATTAAAAGAGATTGTTTTTTCCTAACGCTGAGAAGTTGAGCGAAAGTTCTTCACTATTTACAGATATAAAATGTGGGACATAATATTTCAATGGGCATTGACCTAAAGCAAAGCTTCCCCAACATCAAGATAAAAGTGTGAGATTACATAATAAAAAATGTTCAGATACGTAGCAGAATCAGTTTAAACCGAATTCAGCGAAAATGGATAGAGAGAAGGGTATATTATAACAATTTTTGAATATAGTGTAGTATTGCCCCAATCACAAATTGCAATGAACAAACCAATGGTGCGTATCGAAAGAAAATAAAAGGGGTATTTTACTAAGTGACTGATCTATGTATTAATATCTCTCAAATTAGTTACCGAAAATTTTAATTCGAGATTGTTAAGTAACCTGACAGTTATTAAAAGAAATTGTTTTTTCTTAACGTTGTGAAGTTGACCGGAAGTAATTCGCTACTAATATGTTCAGATACATAGCAGAATCAGTTTTAACCGAATGCAGCACAAAGAGAGGAAGACAATGCTACATTTTATCAAGTTTGGGACATAGTGTAGTATTGCCACAATTGCAAGTAACATACCAATGGGCGTATCTGAAGAAAAAAAGGGGTATTTTATAGGGTATTTTACTAAGTGACTGACCTATCTATTAATATCTCTCAGTGTAGTTACCGAAAATTTTAATTCGGGATTCTTAAGTAACCTGAAGGTTATCAAAAGAGATTGTTCTTTTCTAACGTTGAGAAGTTGACTGGAAGTCATTTACTACTAATAAGTTCAGATACGTAGCAGGATCAGTTTTAACCGAATGCAGTACAAAGGGAGAGAGATAATGCTACATTATATTAATTTTTGGATATAATGTAGTAATGCCACAATTAATAATTGCAATTAACACACCAATGGCCGTATCTGAAGAAAAAAGGAGTTTTTTTATGGGGTAAATGATCGATCTATCTATTAATACCTCTCAGAGTAGTTACCGATCATTTTAATTCGGGATTGTAAAATAACCTGACGGTTATTAAAGGAGATTGTTCTTTCCTAACGCTGAGAAGTTGACCAAAATCATTCACTACTATGTTCAAATAAGTAAACTCATGTTTGTGAAAATTGCAACACCATGAAGAACTTACGCGAATGAGCTGAAATTTTCAGGAAATACAAATTAGCGCATGATATGCAAATGATTAGAATTTCTAATCCGTATCGCATGCGTATGCTGAGCAGCGCCCTCTGAACGGCGAATGGATCTGAATAAATAGACGGCTGTAGCGAGGCGTGTATGGTTATCGGTGGTTATCTGCAAGTGGTAAACGTTAGCTCAATCGTTACTTATGCCTCTTCGACGAAAGACAGCGAGATTTGAACAACTTACAGAGTTTGAACGGGGAGAATCATCGGCCTTCGTGAAGCTGGATTGTCTTATCGTGCAGTAGCCGCTCGTGTGCAGTATAACAACAGCACAGTGATCCGTCTTTGGAAGCAGTGGACGGACGAGTGTCGGACAACTCGGAAATCCGGGAGTGGACCCCGAAATGTGACGTCAGTTCGCGATGATAGACACCTGGTCCGCATGGTGCTGACGGACCGTACAGCTTCCTCTAGACAATTGATAGCACAGTGGTCATTAGCTACAGGTGTTTCATTGTGTGCTTCATCAATTCGTAGACGTCTGCTGCAGCGTGGACTGCGCGCAAGGACTCCTCCTCCTCAGACGCTAAACCATCGCCGCCTGCGGCTACAATGGGCCACTCAGCATAGAGACTCGCGTGCTGATTGGCAGCATGTCGTGTTTCATGACGAATCCCGCTTTAATTTGTGGCACCATGATGGCCACATTCGTGTCAGACGCTATGCCGGTGAACGCCACCTTCCGGAGTGCATTATCGAACGTCACAGTGGACGAACACCCGGAGTTATGGTCTGGGGTGCCATATCATATCATGGGCGATCTCAATTGCTAAGAATTGTGGGCAATCTGAACCGCAACCGGTACATCAGTGAAGTTCTACAGCCCCAAGCTGTTCCCTTCCTTCAAAGCTTGCCAGGCGCTGTATTTCAACAGGACAATGCCGGCCCTCATATCGCTAGGGCTGTTCAATCCTTCTTTGCAACGCGGCAGGTACAGCTTCTTCCTTGGCCTGCGTATTCCCCGGATATGTCGCCGATTGAACATGTGTGGGATTTCGTTGGTCGGCGTCTCTCTCGTGATCCTCGTCCTGTTGCTTCTGCAGACGAACTTTGGGTGCGCATACAAGCGATATGGAATGCTCTTCCTCAGGCAGGCATTAAAAATTTGTTTGACTCCATGCCACGTCGTGTAGCAGCACTTATTGCAGAGCGTGGTGGCTACACAAAATACTGATTCCGATCTCTTGTTATTATTTGTTTGCTTTGAACATTTAATCATTTATTTGTACCATTACCACTCAACTGTGTATTAAATTTCATTCAATTATGACGATTCCTTTATGGTGTTGCAATTTTCACAAACATGAGTTTAGAAGAATCAGTTTTAACCGAATGCAGCACAAAAGATAGAATGCCATATTATGTCGATTTTTGGACATAGTGTAGTATTGCTACACTCACAAATTGCAATTGGCGTATCTGAAGAAAAAGAAGATGGTCAATGGCAGTCATACTGTGTCTTCAGTTATCCTATTTCCAGATTACAGATTTATCTTGTCCGTACAGAACGTAGACACAGAAACTTCAGATTCGCTTTGTTCGTTAGCGTTTTAATGGAGATTTCCCTATTTGTAAGTCCAAAGCGCACTCTTTAAGCCAAGTTATGAAATGTTAATGATAATACAAGCTATACTTGTCTCTAAGTTACTTTCGTTTGTCTTTAGCCTTATTTACTTAGTGATTTGTCTTAAAGTATAGCCAACTTTATTTAAGAGTTAATAATAATTAAAATAATAATTATAACAAATAATAATTATTATTAAAATAATAATTATAACAAATAATAATAATTATTAAAATAATAATTATAACAAATAATAATAATTATTAAAATAATAATTATAACAAATATTATTAATTATTAACTAACTTTATTTAAGAGAATTTGAAGAAGTTGCTGTAATTAGTTCACAATAATTTATATTCAAAGCATAACTGGTTTATAAATTTTCTAATTTAAATATAAAATCAAGATGGTTAATTTTCTTATATTAGCTTAGAATTCAATTGTCAAATCAATTTTGTCCTTAGGAAAGTTTGTTAAGATTTGTTTTAAAGATGTTTGGCTCTAATTAAGAAGTAATTCGATAGATGAGAACAAATGTACCGTTTATCAAATGATATGTATATATACTACTGTGTCCAAAAAGTTAGACCAATTTTCAATTTAAAATTCCCGGGGCTTATGGAATTTCAATTTTTCTTTCTTTTCTTTGTTTGCTGGCACTGTCCTTGACATCTGTGTGAAATTAGACACCAAAATATACATTAGTGTTTGTGTTACGCTTGGCTTTGTGGGACGCTAAAACTGATTCCGGCGATTTTTGAAATATCTGAGATAACTGAGCAAAGAACTTGCATTAAATTTTACTTGCGGAAACGTATAGAATGATGCAGAAGGCATTCGGTGAGCATTCCTATATCGGGAAGAAATGTTTAGAAGTGGTATAAACAGTTCAAAGAAGACAGAGTACGCGTTGAAGACGAAGAGCCCTCTGATGGACCATCAACCTCAACCGACGAAGTTCCCGTCCTAAAAATAAAAGATTTGGTGCTTGCAAACCATCGATTTACAAATAGAGACCTTGCTAATGATGTTGGAATTTCAAAAGGATCAGTCAATTCCATTTTGGGCCTGAAACGCGTCAAATCTCGATTGGTACCGAAAACACTGAATGCGTTGACATTGATTCTTCGTGACTTTTTCGACAAAAATGAAACCCATATCGTTCCACAATCCCCGTGTTCACACCGTGCGTCTACTGGCCATTCCCTAAACTCAAAGAGACCACTCCGGAGACACCGTTTCGAGTCGATTGAAGAGATTCAATGTGAATCGCCGCGCGCTTTGAAGACCATCCCTGCCGATGACTTTTTAGCATGCATTGAGGACTGGAAAAAAAGTTGGCATGAGTACATTGTCCGGAGGGTATTACTTTGAAGGCGATTAATTAAATTTGGATGAATAAATACAGAGTTTTTGAAAAAAAAAATTTTTCTTACTTTTTGGGCACAGTAGTATAGATACATTTTTTATGATATATATATATATACATTGTTTGATATATATAATAAATAATTTTGTTATAAAGCCTGAATTTTTTACTGTACCGGAACTTTGGGCTTTTCAGGAGAACGAGTTGTCACAGGATATTCTGGAGTTACAGTCTCTGGTGAATCAGTTATGAAAATTGATGTTTGCTTGTCAGTCGAAGGAGATGGTCTATCTTTAGGCGCAGATAATTGGATGTGGTTGAAATTGGTGTCATTTCCCTCTTCTGGATTCCATTCTATAGAATGTACACGAACATTGGGGGCATTGACAGTCATAGATTCTCCAGGTTTGAGTTCCATATTCGATGCAAGTGTATCTACGACTTGCAACAAACTGAAAATAAATAATACAAATTTGTTACAACTTCCTATTAGAATTAACTTATTTTTAATACAGATTTTATTTTTTTAATATTTAACAATTTTCATAACAAAATATTAAAGAAAGATTTTAACATTAAACATTAACATTAAATC